CTTTCCAGAGTGCCCCGCTTCCATGTGCCCCCCCCACCCCCACCCCCACCCCGGTGTGTGCGGGGGGGCAGCTGCGCTTCGCCAGGCGCTGCCACGTCTGACCAGGAGACACACGTGTCGCTTGGCAGCTCCTGGGCCTGATCCCGACTGCCAGAGCCCCCGCCGCGTGGCGATCCTTGCTCCGCTGGGAATGGGCCTTAGGCTTGACTGGCCTGGCATCAGGGTTACTCGCATTTCTGTGACCGTCTATCCTAGAGGTTCCCCACCTTCTTTTGCACCAGGACCCGTTTGTAAACACCGATGGGCAGTCCTGACCCGCTGCACCCGTGCCCCAGCCCCTGGGGCAGGGGGGGCCCAAGCAGCCCCTCACAAGCTGGAAGTCTGCCAGCCTGCAAGAGCAGCCCCACAGTTTCCCATGTTTTTCTCCTATAAAGGAGAACACATTTTTGACGTTTGTTTGCAGCCCTTTCGTATATTCTTGCGGCCCACTTTTGGGTCACAACCCACAGGTTGAGAAATGCCGGTCTAGAGGAAGGGGTTAGGTTTTGACATTTAGGTGTCAGGCATCTAGATGACTGGCTTTTGTAAAGAAGTAGAATACAAGACTGTAAGGAAGAAAAAGAAGACCGATTTCCATGATTCAAAGCCAAAGCAAGGTTCTTATTCTTGTTAATCGCGTGCATTTGTGCAGATAGCACTGCTGGAGTACATCTGCTACACTGAAATCCCTTCCAAAACGTTAGCAAAGGAGGAAAAGGAGTATTTGGGAGACTAGCTGAGTAAGCAGTATTCTTTTATTCAGCACAGCATACAACTCTTATTTTGGATTGTTGCTTTGGGCTAGGATGGCTGTTGCTATTACGGTTTGGGGGGGGTTGAGTTTGCTTTTCAAAAGGAGATTTCTCTTTAAATGAAGGTGCTGTGTTATAGACTTTAAAGAATTAAAAGCTCTGAAAAATTCTTGACTTGGGCAAACAGCAGCAGCCGGGCAGAAAGTGTGGCAATTATAGAAATAAATTGGGGGTGGTCATGCTTTGAGCTGGACTTGGACTAGATCAGCATTTCTCCACACGTGAGTTGTGACCCAAAAATGGGTTGCAAGAATATACGAAACAGTTGCAAACTAACTTTACAATGGATCAACAAACTTTAAAAATGAATTCTCCTTTAAAGGAGAAAACTAGGAAACTGTGGCTTTTCCCCTGCAGGCTGGCAGAGTTCCATCCTGCATGGGGCTGCTTGGGACCCCCTTGTCCCAAACTGAGGGCCTGCGGGCGCGCAGTGGGTCGGGAGTGAGGGGCACTGGATTCGGACTTGCCATCAATGTTTACAAATGGGTCCCTTACAAAAAAGGTTGAGAACCACTGGACTAAGTGACCTCCTGAGGTCCCTTGCAACCCTAATGTTTTACGATTCTGTGATACTGTAAATAGGCCTATCCACTGTTGAGCTAAAATAGAGAGGTTGAGGTGTTAAAGCAATTCAGCAGTATAAATTTACATTTTATAAAGAAAATAGTAACTCTGTTGCTATGCATGGAAGTGTATACACTCTACCACCTGTCCAGCTAATAACAACTTTCCAACTCTGTATAATTTCTTTGGCTAAAACTTATTCAAAATTGTGGCAATATTTGCTTTTTCTGGTCAGAGAACTTCATGATTTGCTTACTAATAAATTCACTTTGATTACCAGATGTGCAAACTATTTTTATTTTGAGCTATTGATTGTTGTATAACAACTCACTGTTACTATTTTATATTTCTTATTTCAATTGGCTGAACTTCTCTTATTTGTTGAACCTGAAGAATATTTCCTTTTTTCATGAATGGAAACCAATCAACAACGTTTTAGGGCTAAAGGGAAAATAAACATTTCTTCTTAAAGTAAATGTTTTTGGTTTGAATGTATCCTATATAGTTTGTGTTTTACCTACCTTACGGAGGAAAAAAATGTTATTATATTAGGTAGTGCCCTGTTTGATTGACAGACACCTTACTTGTGCAACATAATTATTTTTTGTTCAGTGTATCATTTATTATCCTCCTCTTACTTACGCTGAATGGTCCTTGATTATTTTTTTTTTTTTTTTGCATTTGTCCTCTTAGATGTTTCCTAAAGCTGCTCTACAGGCCCCAAAGGGTTTGATTTCTTCAATTAAAAACTAATCATAGTACATATCTTCGGGCAAAAAAGTTGAGTCAGTCAGAGAAGCAAACAGTTGTCAGAGCTGATTTAAGAGAGTTGGTTTTTGGTTACAGTCTATTGTTGGGTAGTAAAGCTTTTACATGTTTGTAAAAAGATTTGTGCGCTGTCTATGCCTTCCTAAAACCAAGGTGTCCCACCAGTGGGATGTAATTAGCCTAGCATCAACTTAATTCCGAATTCAGACCTGTTGAGAAAGCGGTTTTAAAGTAGAAGAAAGTACATACTTCAGTGATTAGAGTAAGTTGTTTTTACATTTGTCATATAAGGAAGAGATGAAATCTGTGAAAATGTGTGTTTGTTACTTCCTTTGTTATATGTGAAAGTGCCTGAAGCATGACAGAAGCACTGCCTATGATATTAGGCAATCAGTATGTATGAATACCTTTTTTCTCAGTTGTGTAACGGCAATTTTTACAAGAAAATCTAAATTCTGATTTTTTGTGAGTGAAAAACAATGGCTGAAGATTATGGGCATAATTTGAAGCTAACTTGAAATACTGTAGGCAGTACACAGGACAGAAGTTGATAGGGGGGCTTGGACCATTGCTGTGACAGTGCTAAGTATTGGAAAATAATATTTTCTGGTTCTGTAGAGAGCTATCTTTCCATTGCAATAGATGTTTATAAAATATTTAATTTTTAAAGTAATGCAATAGCAATCTAAAACGTAGGAATACTTGCTTTTTTGTTGAAGAAGTAAACACCCTGGTAAACACAGTGTAATTCTGCCCACTCCCAAAAAATCTTGTCATGTGTTAGGGGAAAATGCTTTCTTGTTGCTTTTTAATATTTTTATTTCTATTGTATTGATTGAACAATGTGGCTTCCCCCTAGTGGCCATATTTCTGTGGCTGCGTAAGAATAATGTAACCAGATGAGTGAATAGCATGTTTTATTTTTCTAAGTTACTGAATTCAAATGTTCAAGTGTGTTCAGTTTTCATGAATCATTGGACTCTAGTGCTAATTTATTAACAGCATTTTTCACACCAGGCAGAATAAAATGCAAGTTCTGCAAAATGAGGATTTGTTGTAAATTGATTGTAACCTTAGGGAAGAGTGCAATGAAGTATGTTAAATATTTTCTTTAAATATTAATTTAACTGATTTTATGATTTTGTGAAGCAGAGTACATAAACAGTTAAAAAGCAGGTATCTTTTAAATTGGCAATTGAATAAATCCTGGTAGCAGAGGATTAATGAGGGCTCAAAGTTACTATCATGTATTCACAATTGAGAGTCCTGATCTTAAGCTTAATTGCATGGAAGGTGAACAAGAAAATGTGACTGGCTTTATGCAGTAATTATATAAATAGGACCCAGATAAAATATTCCTGGAAAACATGTTTACTTAGCGGTTTGGTTGATTCTTTAAAATAGGATTAAGGCATGCCAATACAGAAGGTAATGTAGAGATACTTGTGCTGTCATTGGTTCTCCCTTACCTATAGATAGGTTTTCTTTTTCCAGAGCTGTTATGAATGCTTTTCATTATCTCCAACTGAGATTACAGACTGGACAGAAATAATAGTAAAATCCAACTACAGGCTTTCTTTTTTAACAATGAAGACCTATTTTTGCAGTCAAACACGTCAGTTTGTAGCAAATGCTACTTTAAAGTTAAAAGAAACTTTATGTTCTTTTGTTTAAAATAAAAAAATGCATACCTACTCAAACTACACAAAAAGTCTTACTGTAATATATACAATGTGTTTTGTGAATCTGGGTAAAGAAAAGCTATACACCTAAATAGTTACACATTCCTGTATTATACACAATGTTTGCTACTTAAATCATTCCCATTCATTTTTTTTTCCTCGGTGCTTCGTGCATGGAAACATTAAAAAAATCCATTATTAAGATTTTTATTTTCTAGAAGTTAGTGAGGCACTATGGTGGGAAGCAAGCAAATTATTAATCCATGGCACATATTCTTAAAAATTAAATATTGAAAGTCTGTTGGCATGAAACTTTTCACATCAGTTGTTTGGTGTGACAGCTATGTCCAGTCTTGCAATAAGGGAGGATGCAAAACTATTCTTGCCACACTTCCGGGTACTTTGTTAAAATAATAGCCTTATCCTTTAAACTGTTTGAAAACTCTTCTGGCACATAGCATCTGATTAAGTGTGCTTTTTTCACCTGTGAAAGCTTCTACCGCTTTGAACAAATTAGCTT